AACTACAGACCAGTGAATCTCACCTTCCATCCCTGACAAGTTGGTAGCATCAATACGTTTTTTTCTAAAGGGGAATCTGACTCAGTCTGCTGGAGTTCTTTGAGAGTGTTAACAAACATAACAACAAGCATCCAGTTCACAAGTTCTGACTAGATGATCTATTCAGGTCCCTTCTGACCCCAAACTACTATGAAACAAAAATATATTTGGATTTTCAAAAAGCTTGACAAGGTCCTGCACTAAAGACTTTAAAAAAATGAGTTCCCACAGGATTGGAAGGAAGGTTCTTTCATGAATTAAAAGATAAAAATATAGGAAGCAAAAGGGTAGGGCTAAAAGGTGATTAATTCAGGGTGGAAGAAGGTCAAAAATGGGACCTGCAGGAATCTGTGCTGCCCCCTCCCACCCAATGTTTTCATCAGTGACCTGAAAATGGGGATGCATAGCAAAATCTCCAAAGTTTGTAAATGACAGTAAATTATTCCCAGTATCCAGATCCTGAGCTCATAGAAAGGAGCTGCAGAAACTTCTTGCCAAGCTGGAGTGAGTGGGCAAAAAAATATTAGATTAAACTTAAATATCAACAATTGCAAGGTAATCCAATGGGGAAAAATAAACCCAGCTATACAATGCTGGGTTCTAAGCTAGCTGTTACAACCCAGGAAAAAGACCAAGGAGTTGCTTCATTTTCCTGCTCCGTTACTGAGGACTTACGAGTCTTGGACTGCTATTAGTCTGGAAACCTCACTCTTGACCTTGCCACCATGACCCCACCATGAGTACAAGAGTCCAGGCAGTATGTTCTACCAAGGGCCAAGAGCAATAGGCCTCTGCCATGTCAAGGCATCTGGCATCCCTAAACCAATGATTTTGGATACCAGAGGGTAATATGGGATAGATCACTCCAGATATACCCAGTTCAATATTCTCCCTATAAAGCACACTCAGCTAGACAGACCACTGGTTTGACCTAGTATAGTACTTCTTGTGTTCTTATTTAACTGCTGCATATCTACTAGGTATGAAGAAAAAAAATAAAGGCAATAAGCAAAACTTGCTACTACATTATAATTTTATACCAGGAGTTAGAAAGGTCCAAACCCTATTATCTAATGCCAGCAAATTAATCATGTGGATCCCAACTAGCTGATATTCATTCAGCATCATGGTATTAAAGCCCCTAATTTTCTTTAAAGGGAAATGGTGGTCTAGAGAAAAGATAGTGCTACTGTATGCATAGCATCCACACCTAACCTTTACTTCCTGTTAGATTCTATGCCACTTTATCAGATTTCATAGGAGAAATCACAGCATATCTTTGGTACCTATAGTTAACATGGAATAGGTAGATCAGCAGGGATCCTGGTTTTCTGTTTAAAAATTGCAAATTTGCCCATTAAAGTTCCCCCAAATACCAGTTTTTCTATGATTAAAATAAAACACCACTATACATATGTATCAGTTGAACACAATGTTTTATTGATATATTTACAGTTGTAAAGCAGCTTGGGAGCCTAAATACCTATGCATTTTGGTGTTTGATTTTGGGGGGGGGGTTGTCTTTTTTTTGTTTTTTTTAATCATGTAAAATCAGAGCTCCCCCTCCCTTCACTCACCAGGATGGGTCCAGCTGTGGCTGTCCTCCACTGCTTTGTGGTGCTGAGTAGCCCTGATATACTGGTGCCCTGCCCATGCCATTGCACCTCACTCCCCATGCACAGCCTCCCCTTCCCCCCCACCTTGCCAGAAGGGGCCCCCAACTGCCAGGGCTATGGGGCCAGGAACCTGGGTCCACAGCAGTCCCCAAGCCCTGGTTGCTGCCTGTGGGAGGCTGTAGCTGCTGCACTGGTGGAGCAGTGTGCAGCCCCGCTTTCTCCCCTCCATGGGTGGTACAGCTGGAGTGGAGGGTTGGGGTCAGGTGCAAGCCACCCACTGTGGGCTCAGGTGTGGGGGCAGGGACAGGATGGCTCCCCGCTGCTGCGTACACTCCAGGGCTAGGGCATGGGAGGAATGTGCCCCCCAGATTTGTGCACAGAGCAGGTGCAGCTCTGGGCTTCCTGCTCTGCTGCCCTCCCCCAGGGTCTCCACAGCCCAGCAAGCAGGACCCAGCATGGCAGGGCAGAGCAGGGCCAGGTGCTGCAAGCCCTGCACAACCATGGTGAGGTGCCCTCAGCACCACCATCCCTACCAGGCTCCTAGTGGTGGTATTGAACTTCCCCACCCTGCCATGCCTGGCCATGCCAGGCAGGCTTGCTGGGCCACAGGTCCTGGGGGAGGAGAGCAGGGCAGGGAGCCCAAGCCCACAGCAGGCAGCCCACTCAACCTCACACACAAAAGTCTGGGGGGCATGTGCCTCCCATGCCCCTGTGGGAGTGTGCACAGAAGCCGGGAGCCAGCCCCCTGCTCCTACCCCTCCCACGAGCTGCCCATGTCTCTGTCCTGCAACCTGCCCAGGGTCCTGTGGTGGCTGTACATCCTGGCCCCTGGGCCCTAAGCCCCACACGCTACTTGGGCTGGGCAGCAGCCCCATCCACAGTGGCTTTGGACTAATATCACATCTATTTGGTATCAGCTTCTTGTCACCTCAGATAAAGAGCAGTCTACGCTTACCTGGCAAGGGAAACACTGACCATGGAGGTGGTCTTCCTAGTAGCACCTGTGGAAGACTATGCTCCTGGCACAGGGATAGTACCTGCCAAGGTAATGTATAGTAAACCTCCCACTTAGCTGCTGGAGTGGGGAGGTCTTGGCTTTAATCTCACTTTATGGAAATCAGAGACTCTTCCCTGGCTTGTCCCTGGGGCCTTATGGCTGAGGGCAAGCAAAACTCGGGGGGGGAACAAACCCCAAGCCTTTGGGCTTGGGCCTGCAAGTAGCATACTCCACCAAAAGTTTTGAAAACATCTGTAGCCCCGGATGTTGCCAGTAGTAGGGCCACATATGGTTCTGGATTGACTCTTGCAATTGGAAGTTGTTTTGGCTAATTTGGCTTGGAATATGGAAAGTTAAAAACAAAAAACACCCAACTCCCACCCCCCCTCATGATAGAGGCCTCAGTCCCAACCCCCACCACCAGACTTACCTGTGGGTAGCTGCTCTCCAGGCTGCCTGGCGGTCACGTGCATGTGTACGTGCACATGGCAGCCCTGACCAACTGCCCTCCTCCTGCTTCTGCCAGCCTGCATGGGAAAACTCACAATTTCCCAGGTTTTCTCTCCACAAAATAAGAAAATTCGCATTTTATGATGGCAAATGGCAACCCTGATCCCTGGTTAAGTCAGTACCGTATTTGTTGACTCCAAGACGAAACAGAACTCCTCCCTTTTCCTTCCTTTGATCCTCCCATCCCATCTATTATTCACCCAGTTATCAGTTAAAAAGAGTGCAACTGGTACAAACATATATTAACTTTTGATAAGCCCAAAAATAATGTTTGCTTAGTTCTCAGTTAATGCAAGATATACTGAATTAAGCCCATCTTAAAAGTTGGGTCCACATAACTTATTTTTAAACAGGCAAAAAAAGGTAACTGGTATCTTAAGGTAAGAAGTCAGGAGCTTCTGCTACACAAGGCAAATCTCCCCATGCATAAACCTCTTACATGCAGTAAAATTAAATGGAATTTAATTTTTTAAATGCAATAGAAGTCCAGCAAAATTAAATGCAATTATAAAAGTCCAGCATAACTACTGCTTTTGCAGAATTGAAATGCTGCATAAGTGCATATGGCATTTCATTTTGTTCAAAGAAAAATGTGAACTTTGGGTAACTTAACACAGAAATTGGGATTTTATTTTTTTTAAAATCAGAAAAATCGGGATCCCTGATAATGAGGAAGATTCAGCTATATCCATCCATATTTATATTACACTTTCCAATGTCCCTGGCACTTTGCAGAAGAAATCTGCTGTTAAAAGGACAATCTACACCAGGGGTGGGCAAAATGTGGCCCAGGGGCTGGATGCAGCCCGCCTGGCTGTTCTATCCAGCCCGTAGGGCCCCTAAAAAATTTAGAAAATTAAGAGTTATCTGCCCTAGGCTGCCTGTCACGTGGCCCTCAGTGGCTTGCCAAAACTCAGTAAGCAACCCACTGTCCAAAATAATTGCCTGCCCCTGATCTACACTGTGGCAAACTTTGGATAAGAATGAAATACTGGAAGATCTTCATACTGCACACTAGCAATGCACCCACCAAATTTTGGTATTTTCTTGCATACATGTGCCTTTTTGCCTAAATCAGATCCCCCATCCCCTTCCTGCCCCAGACTTTTGGGGTGTGTAGATTAAGCAGGGAAGATGGTTTTCTGCTTTGGATAGAAGCACCCCACTTTGATTCCTGCTGTGGTGTTACTATTCAGCTTGCTGACTGACTCTATCGACTTAACAGATTTTCACTCTACAGGTGTTAACTAACCATCTCTCTTTTTTAATGGTCTTGATGTTCCACTAATCAAGCTAACGTATACTAGGGCAATTTTGCTGCCTGGTTTCTGTCCTCCTATTTCATGTACCTGGAAATGTTTCAGATATCACAGATCCACCCATGGAGACTAGTCTTCAATCGCGATAGAATCACAGAATTACTCAAAATGAGGGCTGGAAGGGACCTTAGGTCATCTAATCCAACCCCCTGCTCAGAGCAAGACCATCCCCAATGCCAAGGGCTTTGTCTACTCGAGTGACAGCTTTAGTTAAGTCAGAAAGGGAAGGCAAGTCAGCTGAAGATTAGGCTCTGTCCCTACTTCATACAATCAGAATTCTCAGGAAAAAAAATTATTTTCTCTTCCTACTGCCTTTCAAAAACAAGATGCATAATTATATATTTTGTGCTGTATGCAAACACAGCATGTCCTACAAAAAATAGTTTTAGATTGTACTCATTTCCTAGCATGCAAAAGGACAGTGCAACCTTTACCCCTATTTTTTTTTTTTTTAACATTAGTTGCTGGCAGCTCTAAATCTGATGCAGAGCTGGAAGAAAAAAACAACTTTATCAGGAGGCCTTTTTAAGGGAATTTTATTTTTGAGCAGTTCTTACAAAGATTGTTGCAATATGAAAGTCATTTGTTTTGATAGAAATATTAAGCTGTCTTGTCAAACACACTGAAGTAACCCAAAATATATTTCAGAGCTCACAGAGCTTAAAAAGAGCAAAGATTATATGCAACCAGACAAAACATACTTCTGTATTTCCTACTTCTCTGAACATGTGCATACTATTTGCATGGAATTAAACTTATCTGGAAATTCAGAAATAGCTTTGTTTGGAACCTTAGAGACACTGCACACAGTATTTACAAAGAAACTTACAGATACATTAATCAAAAGTTACCATCAAAAAACAAACCCCTTGAATCCTATTATCAATTATTCAGCATAAAAGCAAGCTGAGTGACTGAACAAAATCAGCTTTCAGTAGCCTTCTGAGTTTTCAATTTATACAAAACACTAAACATGTCCCTTCATAAATTCTATCTCTGATATTAACCTTTAGCAGAACACCTACATTTACTGAAATGTAAAATGTAACTGTTGCATTAAAATAAAGGCTTGTGAAACTTGAAAAATGTCATTATTTCCTATCTGCCTTTTCCAGAAAAATGTGTTTCTATGAGCTACTTTTCATTTCCTAACAATCAACTCAGAAAATTTACAATTACAAGGCAGAACATGAAGTCAACAGCTTTGTATACAGTGGAAATGCTAGTTAGGGAAAATGAACACACAGCATTCCTGCTTACTTCGTTTTATTTTTTTTTAAAGGTAACGGGAAGCGTAGACAAAATGACACTAAACCCTTTCCTTTAGTTTTATCTAAATAAAAGATAACTGTATTTTCCTCCAAAAAGAAAAAAAGAAAAGAAAAAAAGCACTATGTACAAAACTGACTAAATCCATCTTCATCGTCGAACAGGAACCAGTAACTGGGTTGCAGTCATGGAATCAGGAAAAAGGCTGTGGTATGTTGGAAGAGGTACATATGCTGCTGTAATCATTTTACCTAGGCAAAAAAAATATGAACAGGTATTACAAACTTTTTTTTTAAAAACACAAATCACTGGAGAAATTCAGTTTTTTAATAGGAGTTTACTCACCTGCAAACCACCTTCCATGTAATGCATTGACAGCTGCAATTGCTGCAGCAATTGAGGGGCATTTCACATATACGTTGCCCTAGAAAACACAAAAGCAAGGTTGCAATCTATTAACAGACAATTGTTTCTGCCCACTGACTCCACATACATGTGGGGGTACCAGAATTAACAGCAGGGTTATTTTATGCTTCATTTATTTGGGAACTGCTATTGCAGAACTACTGCAAAGAGGTCCAATAATGCATGTAATTTTTGGAGACAAGCATTACCTGATCAGAAAGTTAATTCTGTTTTCATACTAAATAATTCAGATGGATTTTACAAATCTGAGACCAAGACTAATACTCAAAGCAGCAGGAAGAGACTTCTGAAGGCAAGAACTGGTATACTGTTCCAAGTGGTTCAACTACTCTCAATTACCCTTCTGAGATTTTATGTACTTATTTTGTAAGCCAAACTATACTTATTTCATTAATGTAATTGTATTAAATTTTACTGCCAACATTTTCAAGCAGAAATATCACATTTTCAATTACACAATACTAGAAGCAGTGGGTGCTCAGTACCCATGAAAAATTAGCCCACCGAGAGCACCATAAATACTTAGTACCCTTAGAAAGCAAGACTGCTGGTATGCATGTTCACAGGTGTGCTCAGATACCTAACCTGACAGACAAAAACTGAGATGGATGGGAAGGAAGAGGATGATCATGAAAAGATTTCCTGAGAAGTTCCTATTAACCACATACCTGCTGGAGTACCAACATTAATATCAGCAGGCAAATGCTCATGTCTGGGAACAAGAAGAGTGTGGCAGAGGGAGGGCAGCCCACAGACCCCAGCACAAGGAGGGAGCCATGCAAGCCAGCACTGTGCCAGCTTTTCAAGCGGCTATCAATCAAGCTGGGTGGTGGCTGGCTGATGACATCCGCTGCTGTGGGAAATTAAAAAACCCCAGCAGAAGACGGGTGCAGGGGGGGGGGGAAGGTAGGAGGCAAGACGCCGAGCTCACCAGGGTGCTACCCAGCAGAGCAGAACCCCCACAACACCGTCCTGCCGGGGACGAGCGAGGGCAGTAGTAGGGAGCCAGACAAGGCTTCCCAATTCCGAGCTCCGTGGG